CCCCCACAGCTATTACCTTTTGTATCACTCAACCCTTCCTCCTAGATTGTTAAGCTCTAATGAGCCGGGCCCTCTGTTTCCTCTTGTACCAAATTGTATTGTAACTGTAATGTCTACCTTCATTTTGTAAAGCGCTGTGCAAACTGTTGGTGCTATATATAAATCCTGTATAGTAATAATAATAATACTAATAATAACTTCAGCTTGTTCAATGAAGCTTTGACAATAAAAACCTGGAAGCTGATTGGTTACTATGCAGAGCTGCACAAGATTCTGTGTGCATCAGTTTTAGTAAATCTCCCCCATTGTGTTGCACTGCTAAAATTTGAAGGCAAAAGTACAATATATTACTATTTAGCCCTTTCTTAACACTTATAAATGCTGATCAGTGCTAATTATTCCCCCCCCCCCACCCACCCCTTAGCTATTTTTTATATGTTGATATTTTTTAATTATTATTTATAAATTGTATGGTATTGTATTCATACCATTTTTATTATATTATCTTTATTTATATAAAATAATATATTTACCATAATTTTTTTTGTTTTGTTTTCATCCATTGTGTTTGCTACTTTTTTAATGTCGCATAAAAAATACCAAAAATTAAAAAAAAAAAAAGTTATGCTTTGTAACAAAATGGAACACATTTCAGAACAGAATGTATACTTTTTTTTATAAACACACATTCTTACTAAAGGATAGACTCCAGCAGAGAGTTGCACACATCAATGTAATAGGATTGGGTATGACCACCATAATAAAACCATTCAACAGAACTACAAAGTGTGCACACTTGTAAGGGATTATATGATGCACAGAATTCTTCCCAATATAACAGAAAATATAGAAACAAAATAACAGCGCTGGTAAACAAATAAAAACCGATGATTATAACACTGAAAGGTTTCTTCACAGTAAGAGCTGTGAAAATGTGGCATAGACTCCCTCAAGAGTTGGTTCTGGCCAGCTCCGTGGATTGCTGTAAAAAATGCCTGGATTCTTTCTTAGATACACAGAATATAACTGGATTCTAACATTTATAGGTAAAGTTGATCCAGGAATATCCGATTGTCTCTCGGGGATCAGGAAGAAATGTTTTTTCCCTGCAGGAGCAAATTGGATCATGCTTTGCTGTTTTTTTTTTGCCTTCCTCTGGATCAACTGTGGGTATAGAATTATAACTTTTTTTTTTAATGGTTGAACTGGATGGACTTTTGTTTTTTTTTCAGCCAGACTAACTATGTAACTATATATAACATAGTGAATATTTCATCAGTCATATTAAATAACATACAGTGAATAGAAATAAAATAAAAGTGTCCATGTGAACGCCGACCGTGTTGAGCGTCTGTCCACGCTGGAGCCATCAGCTTGCTATATTGCTTATGTAAGCACAGTTTTCTATCTTGCATTGGAAATTTCTTTGAATGTGAACGGTGGATTTTAATGAATAAAGATCCATATAAAAGTAAAAAAATTGAAAGTTCCAAAAAAAAAAAACCAAATACACCCCCATCCGCATTCCAGGTGGTCAATTATCTGGGGTGAGTGGGGGGCTCTGGAGGGGGAGCACTACGCACAGAGAATTGCTATGGATAAGAAGATTTACTACTGTATCACTTAATATTCACAACGGATGTGGATGAGGGTTTTCTTTTTTTTTTGTGGAACTTTCAATTTTGTTTTAACTTTATATGTTTGCACAATTATTGGGACTTATATATATATATATATATATATATATATATATATATAGTGGGAACTCGCTTCTTAATGGTAGAGCTTCTTCAAAGCACACAGCAACTCGCTTCTTTTTTAAGGGCCTTTTTGCCCAATTTTATTTAAACGACAGTTCAATAACATAAGAGGTTCCCACGCAGGGCTATCCACCATCACACAAAACAACGATTCAGCCTCCTGGCTTATACTCAGCTTGATGTCTGTCTCCTGCAGACTTCTTCAACAATTATGGCTCTCGCACACAGCTGGCCACTAGCACACAGCTAGTCTCTAGCAGCCCCTTGCTGCTTTTGGCTTCCACCTCTCCTAGGTGAAGCCCACCTGACTCTATCTGCCGGGGTGGAGCCCTCCTGACTCCTATCTGCCGGGGTGGAGCCCAAAACCCTGGTCCTGACTCTCTGAAAAGGCCTGCACACACCTGTGCAATCAGCCTCCTGGCCATTCCAAAAACCTGGCCCCAGGATTGGAGATTTCATCCCTCCCAGATCTCTTTGAAATCTCCAGGCTCCAGATCCCAAAACAGACCTTACAAACAAAGGAGGAAAGTGAAAAGCCACTTTCCTCCGTATCAAACACTTACCCTGGAGCCCCTCAACCTGCCTTGTTGAGAATCCAGGGTGACAGATCGCCACACACTGTCACAATATATATGTTTTATACAATTTCACTGTAGAACACAGTTTCAACATTATATGTGCTATTTTTAGCACTATTGTCCTTTAGTACCTCTCATTTACTTATTGGTTTATTTGGGATTTAGTCACTAAAGGAGGAATATAATTGCCAGCCTACGAGTCATCTATAGCACATGCACTTTATGGGGACCTTGCCTTCTGTGCAGTAGGAAGTTAATTCATTTAATTAATTATTTAAAGTAGTCCCCTTGGAGAGTTTAGCGCAGCAATTTTTTATGTTTGCAATCACACATTTCAATCACTGGTACACATTTGTGATTTTGCTAGCAGCAGCCAGTCAAATTGATCAATCCTCTGGGCAGGTTATACATCACCTCACAAAAAGATCACTTTCATGGGCATACTTCACTATGTACGTGATTATCTCTCTTTTTTTTCTTATATTATTGGATCTGTATCAAACCCACTACAGATGAACATGTAGTACCACTACCTTTTGTTTTTCATGGTTCAATTGCCATTTTGGTGTATTGTCCTTTATTTGCTGCTGGTCTTAGTTTATGATGAGATTGTGATTGCACATCTTCGAGCTGAGCGTTCTATGACCATTTATAATTTTATAGTCCATCTATTTATTTTTTTTGGGAAAAAAGGTTTATTGTTCCTTCTTAAAATTATAGAAGGCAATATATAACAAATCACGGTAGTGTTCATTTGAAAGAAAAACCCTCAAATGACAGCAAACAGAGACATATACCGTATAATTCTATACTGGAAGGCATGTTAATGTACAGTCAGGTCCATAAATATTGGGACATCGACACAATTCTAACATTTTTTGGCTCTATACACCACCACAATGGATTTGAAATGAAACAAACAAGATGTGCTTTAACTGTAGACTGTCAGCTTTAATTTGAGGGTATTTACATCCAAATCAGGTGAACGGTGTAGGAATTACAACAGTTTGCACATTTGCCTCCCACTTGTCAAGGGACCAAAAGTAATGGGACAATTGGCTTCTCAGCTGTTCCATGGCCAGGTGTGTGTTATTCCCTCATTATCCCAATTACAATGAGCAGATAAAAGGTCCAGAGTTCATTTCAAGTGTGCTATTTGCATTTGGAATCTGTTGCTGTCAACTCTCAAGATGAGATCCAAGAGCTGTCACTATCAGTGAAGCAAGCCATCATTAGGCTGAAAAAAACAAAACAAACTCATCAGAGAGATAGCAAAAACATTAGGTGTGGCCAAAACAACTGTTTGGAACATTCTTAAAAAGAAGGAACACACCGGTGAGCTCAGCAACACCTAAAGACCCGGAAGACCACGGAAAACAACTGTGGTGGATGACCGAAGAATTCTTTCCCTGGTGAAGAAAACACCCTTCACAACAGTTGGCCAGATCAAGAACACTCTCCAGGAGGTAGGTGTATGTGTGTCAAAGTCAACAATCAAGAGAAGACTTCACCAGAGTGAATACAGAGGGTTCACCACAAGATGGAAACCATTGGTGAGCCTCAAAAACAGGAAGGCCAGATTAGAGTTTGCCAAACGACATCTAAAAAAGCCTTCACAGTTCTGGAACAACATCCTATGGACAGATGAGACCAAGATCAACTTGTACCAGAGTGATGGGAAGAGAAGAGCATGGAGAAGGAAAGGAACTGCTCATGATCCTAAGCATACCACCTCATCAGTGAAGCATGGTGGTGGTAGTGTCATGGCGTGGGCATGTATGGCTGCCAATGGAACTGGTTCTCTTGTATTTATTGATAATGTGACTGCTGACAAAAGCAGCAGGATGAATTCTGAAGTGTTTCGGGAATATTATCTGCTCATATTCAGCCAAATGCTTCACAACTCATTGGACGCTTCACAGTGCAGATGGACAATGACCCAAAGCAGACTGCAAAAGCAACCAAAGAGTTTTTTAAGGGAAAGAAGTGGAATGTTATGCAATGGCCAAATCAATCACCTGACCTGAATCCGATTGAGCATGCATTTCACTTGCTGAAGACAAAACTGAAGGGAAAATGCCCCAAGAACAAGCAGGAACTGAAGACAGTTGCAGTAGAGGCCTGGCAGGGCATCACCAGGGATGAAACCCAGCAACTGGTGATGTCTATGCATTCCAGACTTCAGGCTGTAAATGACTGCAAAGGATTTGCAACCAAGTATTACGAGTGAAAGTTTGATTTATGATTATTATTCTGTCCCATTACTTTTGGTCCCTTAAGAAGTGGGAGGCACATATGCAAACTGTTGTAATTCCTACACCGTTCACCTGATTTGGATGTAAATACCCTCAAATTAAAGCTGACAGCCTGCAGTTAAAGCACATCTTGTTTGCTTCATTTCAAATCCATTGTGGTGGTGTATAGAGCCAAAAATGTTAGAATTGTGTTGATGTCCCAATATTTATGGACCTGACTGTAATTGAATCTGAGTGAACATGGCAATAAAGGGCTAGACCGTGTGCCTCTGTTCTCATTGAACAAGCCAGCCATTTCCTGGAACAGCTATACAGAATGGCATCTACCTAAACACTGATAGAGACACTGTAGATGATCTCTGTAAAATATTTTATAGGTTGATGATGCAGCCATCGATTAACACAAATCAACACCAAATCCCCATTCCAATGGGCATAAATATCCCAAAGGGGTAACTGCTTTGCATCAGGGTCTTTCCAATGCCGTCAATAGGTTCTTGTCTTCTCATTCCAACTCTTAAACAGGAGACAGTGCCAAAGACTGCTCCGGCTACCATGCCCACTGTGCACCCCATCATGAAGCCCACCTTTATTTTGTCAAAGCAACTGGGCTGAGACTGCCCATAAGGTCCACCTACAATAACCGGCATCTCTGCAGCCCTGTGTGTGCCCGATCTGCGCCCCTCCGATCACCTCCTTATGGTCCATGTTGTCTGGAAAGAGGCTCTGACATCTATATGTGGAGGTGGAGGTGTTTTTTCACATCGTGGTGTATTGTTAGCTCTTAGATTGCACTTGATATTCTTTGGAGAAGAAGGAATTTTATTTGTCACTTGAATTCATCTTTCACATAGACATGTTTTATTTTGTTTCTTTTCACTGTATGTTATTTATTATGATTGATTAATTATCCCCTATGTTATAATCATCTGGTTTTTGTTTGTTTACTAGTGCTGTTATTTTGTTTCTATGTTTTTTTCACTTGGTGTCACAGTTTCCCTCCTGAGGATTTACCCCCCTTCCTGACCAGGCCATTTTTTTGCATTATGGTGCTGCGTTACTTTAGCTGAAAATTGCACAGTCATGCAACACTGCACCCAAATTAAATTTACATCCTTTTTCCCATGAATTGAGCTTTCTTTCAGCTTTATTTGATCGCCTGTACATTTTTTTATTTTTTTGTGCTATAAAAAAAAAGTCTGACAATTTTGAGAAAAAAACTATATTTTTGACTTTTTGCTATTAAATGTGTCCAGTAAAAAAATAAAAATCAAATTTCATCATAATTGTAGGCCAAAATGTATTCTGCTACATGTCTTTGCTAAAAAAAAATCCCAATATGTGTAAAATAATTGGTTTACGCGAAAGTTATAGCGTTTACAAATGGCGGTATAGATACTGGGATTTTTTTTTTTTTACCAGTAAAGGCAATCAGCGACTTATAGCAGGACTGCGGCAGACATTCTGACACTGGGGGGAACTGACTTGGTGTCATTGACATCCTCGGTGACACCAATACAGTGATCAGTGCTAAAAAAAAAAGCACTGACACTGTACTAATGGCACTGGGCAAGAAGGAGTTAACATGAGGGGCGATCAAAGGGTTAACTGTGTGCTGGGAGTGTTTTACTAGGGGGCTGTGTCAGTGTGCTTCACTGTAATCACACTGCTTTGGACGGCTGTGCTGTGCAAAGCCATCCAACACAGTGTGCCCAAGCTGGCAGGGATGAGAACTGTTAGTAAACAAAACAGTTCTCCTCCCCATCAGAGATCCTCAGTAATCACCGGGGGTAGGCAAGTAATCACCAGCAGGGGCAGACGCGACCACAAATGGCAGCGCAGGTAGGGCGCACACGTGGCTCGTGCGCATCCCCTATCCAGAAATGCAAAATCACGTATATATGATTTTATATATATCACACCCCGTGCCGCCCTGTAACAGTATTTCTGCTATAGGGCAGTCGGGAAGCGGTTAACAGCTGCTTTATATTGTGTTTTTTTTTTTTTTCATCTTAGCACAGATATATATTTTATTTTATTCATAACAGAAAATATACACAGGCCTAACATCACTAACCTGATCAATCACTGTTTTTGGTAGAAATGATATTTCTACATGGCAAATAATTTACTAGCAGGTGTAATAGAGTAATAGAAATCCAACAGACCCAACAGTCATGACATGCATGCTGCTGATTCTGTGTAATTGAATCACTAATTAAAAGGGGCATGTTCAAAATAATAGCAGTGTGGAGTTCTATTAGTGAGGTCATTCATTCTTTGAAAAACAGGTGGCAATTATTGCCCTTATTTAAGGAAGGAAGGCAGCAAATGTTGTACATGCTGGTTACAGTGCACTTCTCTCTGAAATTCTGAGGAAAATGGGTCGTTCCAGACATTGTTCAGAAGAACAGCGTACCTTGATTAAAAAGTTGATTGGAGAGGGGAAAACATATAAAGAAGTGCAGAAAATGATAGGCTGCTCAGCTAAAATGATCGCAAATGCTTTAAAATGGCAACCAAAACCTGAAAGACGTGGAAGAAAGCGAAAAACTACCATTCGAATGGATAGAAGAATAGCCAAAATGGCAAGGAGTCAGCCAACAATCAGCTCCGGGAAGATCAAAGAAGGTGTAAAGATTGTTCTTTTTGGGTCTAGTGGCCGGAGACAGTTTGTCAGACGACCCCCAACACTGAATTCAAGCCACAGTACACTGTGAAGACAGTGAAGCATGGTTGCGCAAGCATCATGATATGGGGTTGTTTCTCATACTACGGTGTTGGGCCTATTTATCGCATACCAGGGATCATGGATCAGTTTGAATACATCAGAATACTTGAAGAGGTCATGTTGCCTTATGCTGAAGAGGAAATGCCCTTGAAATGGGTGTTCCAACAAGACAACGACCCCAAACACACCAGTAAACGTGCAACATCTTGGTTCCAGACCAACAAGATTGACGTTATGGAGTGGCCAGCCCAATCCCCGGATCTTAATCCAATAGAAAACTTGTGGGGTGACATCAAAAATGCAGTTTCTGAGGCAAAACCAAGAAATAGAGAAGAACTGTGGAATGTAGTCCAATCATCCTGGGCTGGAATACCTGATCACAGGTGCCAGAAGTTGGTTGACTCCATGCAACACAGATGTACAGCAGTTCTCAGAAACAGTGCTTATACAACGAAATATTTATTAAGTGATTCAAAGGAAAGCAAAATCTTCAAACATTTTCAGTTTATATAGTGAATGTTTGAGTTTGTAAAGAAGAATACAAACACTGCTATTTTTTTGAACAGTCTAATATTCACTTTTCTTCCATTTTTTTAGAGGAACATCACAAATTTGATATATTTTTCTTCATGTTTTGATTTGGAATAGAATGTGTAGTGTTCCCAATGCATTTGTGTTTATGGAAATAAAAGCTATTAGAAGGATTTTGAGCTTTATTCACTTTTATCAACACACTACTATTATTTTGAACACAACAGTAAATGTGTGTACACTCCCTCCACTTTGCATATACTGCTCAGCAAACTAGATTTCTTATAGTGACAACTCCGTACCAGAAGGTGTATGGAAGCTTTATACACTGCACCAGATATCCTGAATTTCTCTTTGTAACAGTTCACACACTTATATGAGAGAATCGTATATTGTACAAACCTGACACAGAGACAGCATGCTGGCAGGGGACAGGCTTTTCTACTCAGGCTGAGGTTGCTCTAAAAACAAAACTGAAAAGTATTGAACACATTTTGATTCACCTGGAATGTATTTCACTGATGTAGGGGTTGTTCAAATGGGCAGCAAAAAGCAGGTGGATAAGCCGTGGTTTTTATCACCCTTCCTGGTCACCCAGCCAAACAAAAATACAGCCACTTAGGGCTGTATGTATACAGCTGCAAAAATGAAACGGCAAGATAGTCGGTGAAAGGATGGCCCCCCAAACACCACCCATTCAGGTGAATGGGGCCACGCCACCTGCAGCTGCTCCAATAGAATGTCACAAGCCTTTGAGCAAGCTGAAAGAATTTTAACAGTATGTGTTCTAATATATTCATGTCTGTATCATCCGCTCCATCTAGTGGCCGAAATGCAGTATAGGTTTCTAAAACACCTCAATGAGAAAAGATCCCACATTTTAGCAACTGGATGGAGCTGATACAGAAATGAATCTGCTCAAAACATATGGCGACATTTTGTTCCACGTGCATGAATGGTTTCTTCACAGTGAGAGCTGTGAAAATGTGGAATAGACTCCCTCAAGAGTTGGTTCTGGCCAGCTCAGTGGATTGCTTTAAAAAAGTCCTGGATTCTTTCTTAGATACACAGAATATAACTGGATACTAACATTTATAGGTAAAGTTGATCCAGGGAATATCCGATTGCCTCTCTGGGGATCAGAAAGGAATCTTTTCCCCTGCAGGAGAAAATTGGATCATGCTTTGCTGGGTTTTTTTCCTTCCTCTGGATCAACTGTGGGTGTAGGATTATAACTTTAATTTTTTTCAAAAAAAATATCAATTCTTGATGCCTGAAAATTTCTGTTTGGCAAGTAGACAGCCCAAGGTGCTGTATTTAGTAAGAGGCATGTCATTTTTTTTAAATTGTAATTGTTTGGAAAATGAAGAAATTAAAAAAAAAACATTTTTAACATTTTTTTATTTAACATACTGTCACCAGTGCAGTACGGCATCATCATATACAGTGACTTGAAAAAGTATTCATACCCCTTGAAATTTTCCACAATTTGTCATGTTACAACCAAAAATGTAAATGTATTTTATTAGCATTTCACATACAGTGAGGAACAGAAGTATTTGAACACCCTGCGATTTTTCAAAGTTCTCCTACTTAGAAAATCATGGAGGGTCTGAAATTCACATTGTAGGTGCATTCCCACTCTGAGAGACAGAATTTAAAAACAAAATTCAGGAAATCACATTGTATGATTTTTAAAGAATTTATTTGTCTTGCACTGCTGAACATAAGTATTCCAAAATTGAACACCTGAGAAAATCAGTGTTAATTTGGAATTGTATTTGGTACATCAAATTCCTACCTTTGTTGTTTGCAATTAACTAAGAGGTCAAACGTTTCCTTATGTAGTTCTGACCAGGTTTGCACACCCTGCAAAATTATTCAAACCCCTTAAAGACTAGGATTTGGCCCACTCCTCCACACAGATCTCCTCTAGTGGGATTGTCAGGTTTCAGGCTAATCGCTGAGCAACACAGAGTTTCAGCTCCCTCCAAAGATGTTCTAAAACACCTTGGATTAGGTCTGGAGACTGGCTAGACCACTCCAGAACCTTGATATGCTTCTTACGGAGCCAATGGCTATAAGAAGATCCTTGGTTATCCTGGCTGTGTGCTTCGGAAGTCGTTGTCATGTTGGAAGACCCCTGGTGTGGCCACGATGCCATCTTCAATGCTCTGACTGAGGGAAGGAGGTTGTTGCTCAAAACTCACAATAAATGACCCCATTCATCCTCTCCTTAATACAGTGCAGTCGTCCTGTCCCCATTGCAGAAAAGCACCCCCAAAGCATGATGTTACCACCAACCCCATGCTTCACAGTAGGAATGGTGTTCTTGGGATGCAACTCATCCTTCTTTTTCCTCCAAACACGACAAGTGAAGTTTAGACC